TTTTTTTTTTTTTTTGGGACACGGTTTCTCTGTAGACCAGGATATTTTTTATTTTTTGAGACAAAGTTTTTCTATGTGGTCCTGGCCTAGAGCTCCTTATGTAAACCAGGGTGGTCTCAAACTCATAAAAACCTGCCTACTTCTACCTCCCAAGTGTTAGGATTAAAAGCCTGCATCACCGTGCCCAGCCAGCTTACTCTTTTGAGTATAGGAAATTTATCCTGGACACACCAAGGTGTAGACTCTTATTGCCTCATATAAATTCTGTCAGTTCTCATTGTAAATGGATTTCTATATTAAGGTACAATCTTTTCATCTTTACCTCCAGGTCTTTGACCAGGAATTGGATGCACTGGAAATTGAGACAGTACAAAAGGAGACAATCCATCCCCGAAAATCCTATAAGATGAATTCTTCCTGTGCTGACATACTACTCTTTGCTTCCTATAAGTGGAATGTCTCCCGGCCCTCACTGCTGGCAGACTCCAAGTAAGTATTTTGTGGCCCAGCATTAGGAACCCAGAACCTCAGTGTTACTTTAGGGATTAGTCCTACCCATTTTATTCTGGTTTTGATGTTATAATCCTGTTGCCTCAGGCCCCCAAATGCTGTACTAGAGTGGGCACCCTCCCAACTCTTTGCTGGCATTCTATTAAACTTGGAGCAGTGTTATCCTGTAACCTACCAACAGTCAGATCTGCTGATTGCTTGCGGTCTTAATGATCTTTTTGTTTTGTTTGATTTTCAAGACAGTTTCTCTGTGTAGCCCTGGCTGTTCTGGAACTTGCTCTGTACACCAGGATGGCCTCGAACTCATAGAGATCTGCTGTCTCTGTCTCCTGAGTGCTGGGATTAAAGATGTGCACCACCACTGCCTGGCTAAGGGTCTTGCTGATCTAGAATGAGAAGGGGGATGGGTATGAGATTTAGGTGCAGTATTTGGGAGTTCTTATGATTCTGAGACATCGGCAATGTTGTGGTTTCCTGGAAACCTGAACTCTTTCCACCCTTAGGGATGTGATGGACAGCACAACTACACAGAAGTATTGGATTGACATCCAGTTACGATGGGGAGACTATGATTCCCATGATATCGAGCGCTATGCCCGGGCCAAGTTCCTGGATTATACCACAGACAACATGAGTATCTACCCTTCTCCCACAGGTGTGCTCATTGCCATTGACCTGGCCTATAATCTACACAGGTGAGTTAGGACTCATGGGCTTTCCATTACTTTTCTATGTTTTGTTTCATTTATTGAAGTGCAGTCTCGCTATATGTATAGCCTTGGCTGGCCTGGAACTTACTGTAAACCATGCTCACAGAGGCTGTCTACACATTAGCCTTTTTTTTTTTTTTTAAGATTTT